TTATTTTTTTGCTGAAGAGCGTGGTATAGTGACTGTAAAATAAAGATAATCGTACCGCAGCTACAGTGTTTTTCTTTTACAAACTAAATATCAAGGCAAAAATGCACGAAAATTAAATTCAAAATTTAAAAAAAATACTAATTATGGTCAGCAGTGGGCCCCTAAACGGCCTGCCCCCCCCCCCCCCCCCCACTCGCATTGCGGGGTCTGGGGGCACTGTAGTTCCGCCCCTGTATAGATCTTTTGGTTGTTTTTAGGCTTAAAAGCTAGATCATTGTATCCTAAAAAAAATTAACTTTAATGTATTTAGTGTTAATAACTAATGTTCCATTAATACGTGTACTAATTATAATACGATTAATAATATAAAGACGAGTCTTACCGTCCTTGTTGTGTGAAATAGATTCGTCAACGAAATACTTCATCAGGTAAATGAACAACTACTGACTAGTGTCTTTAACAAAATGTGCAGAAGTGGCCAGTTTACAGTTCAGTAGTTCATAGACGGTTTCGTTAATCTATGCATTACATCTTATTGTAAGAGTAAGGGTGTGGTGAGGGGTAGAGGTTAGGGGGATGGGGAGAGGGTAGAGAGTTGGGAAGGTTCAAGGGAAGGGGACAAGAAAGCACCGATGAACATCTACATCAATAGTGCCGACTTTTTCCGGTCGTCTAGAAGACCAGGATAGTCGCCGCAACATTTCCCCAGCCCGATTTTCAAAGCTTTTTTGTTCTCCTAATCGACGCCACTAAACAAGAACGGTAGGCTGCGTCTTTGAAGTTGTCTATATGTCTGGCGGTCTCTCGAGCAATAGTCTGTGCATTTTTCTCAAAGACGTTTGCCGACTATTGTGTTTGTTTGTAACTGTAGAAGAAAGATAACTCGACATCCACCTAATTTTTTTATTTAAATAAAAAAAAAAAATTTTTAAATAATTTAGCCAGGATTTTTGGGCCCCCAATTGGTCTGGGCCCCCCCGCATTGCGGGGTCTGGCGGCACTGTAGTTCCGCCCCTGTATATATATATATATATATATATATATATATATATATATATATATATATATATATATATATATATATATATTTATATTTATATTTATTTATTTATTTATTTATTTATTTATTTATTTATTTATACATGACTAAACATGACTAAATAGTATTCGTATACTACTGGCATAAACAAGTTGTCCCCCCCCCCCCCTCAAACCCCTCTCCCGCCGCTGGACAAAAACTTCAAAGATTGTCTGAGATAAACACTACCCATATCGAGATTTGGGTACCGTATTGAAGAAAGTGGGAGCCAATCGCGTAAGTCATCGAATGGCTGGCTAAGTCACGCGGAGAACAACCGCACGAGACACGAACGTTAAAAGGGGCGTGGCTTGCTGTTTTTACTGACGTTGGAAGCCCCGGTTACTGTTTGGTTCGTCCAAACACGACACACTGATAATGACTGACGACGTAGCGCTATTTGATTCTGAAAACCGGAACGGACGTCAACGACACCCAGCCGTACATAAATCAGGGTTTCTTTCAGACTTACTTTCCCCGGCGTGTGGTGGTTGGGAGTCAATTTTTGGGCGTTCCTGAGCCCACCCAGGGTAACTATCAATAGTGAAAGTACACCCGGCTAGGCATAGTGCTGATGGTCCTTTATAAGTTTATATACTGAGGTACTGACCCAGAGGCGTAGCGACCCTTCCCGGCGCCCGGGGACAAACTTTCAATTTGGCGATCCCCTCGGGATCAACCTTTCAATTTTTCGATTTTCACCCCCCCCCCCCCCCCTCAAACTTTCGATTTGCACCTCCTCCCCCCCCCCCCCCCATATATTTTTTTTCTATTTATAAAGCAAAAATGCAGCTAAAATAATATTTTAATTTGTTTTTCCAACCCATTTTGGCGCCCCCTAAGGTCGGCGCCCGGGGACATATGTACCCCCCCTGCCCCCCCTTCGCTACGCCGCTGTACTGACCACACTTACCCATCATACGCAGAGGTTACATACACATATGAGCATCTGTACTATGGTCTGCCAAAAGGTTAACTTAAATTTCTCCAGAAAAAAAAAAAACAAGAAAAAAAAAAACATGATGGTCATTCATTAAATTTTTATTGATATTTGGGCTGAAATAACTGAGTATGCGAGCAGTGTTGATAAATTAATGCAAGCACGCACAAAAAAAACTGAAATTAATAATTGCATGGGTGCAGAGAAACCCATTAATTGCATTAACTCATTTACAAAAAAAAAAAAATAGTAAAATAAAATTCATCAATGAAATAGTAAAATAAACTGATTTAAAAAATAAATGAAATAGTAAAATAAAATTACAAATAATTAGAGGAATTAGTAAAATAAACTCATTTACAAAATAAAGTAATTAGTATAATGAACAAATAATTAAAAAATACAATTATTTTATTATTTAAATAATTTTAAAAATATATGAAACTTTAAAAACTGCAGCTCCATAAGACACTATTATAGGTTAATCCAAAAATAGTTTTATTTTCCGGAAAACCATTTTATTTCATTAAGAAAGTGAAGGAAGATGATTTGTTTAAAAAAAGACAGCCTACCAAAAAGCTAACAGAAAACAAACTAGTTTTTGACAGAACAAATAAAATTCATTGAGATCTATTTTTACTTGACATTCAACCAAAAAAAATGTTAACCTATTTATGAACTAAACTAACAGACAAAAAAACCTAACCTAAAACCAGTTTGTACATAACCCAAATCCAATCAAATAAATATTTAATACTAAATTACATTTTCTCTAAAGCACAATTGACATACAACAAATCAAAATTTTTTTTTGCACAAATTTAAAAAAACAAAACGACATAACAGGTGTTAGCTGTGAGTTTTTATTTCAAATTAAACTTGAATATTTACAAAATAGATAGTAACAAATGCACATATCTGATATAAAGAAAGGGAAACAGATAATAAGGAACAAGTTAACAATTTTCACATGTTGGTGTAGGGTAGCTTTCTGACAGGATATATTCTGCAAGTTCTTATCACCCACATAAATATTTTTTTTAACAACAGTTTCATTTAAATTAGCCTATTACAGAAAAAATGGATTAGCTTATTTTGTCTTACAAAAAAGAAACTTAATTTTGTTACTGTACACTACCAAGGCTAAAGCAGGCGACCAAAGTGTTAATCCAAAGACTAAAGTAGGCGACCAAACTGTTAATCCAAAGACATAAGTAGGCAACCAAACTGTTAATCCAAAGACTAAAGTATGCTACCAAACTGTTAATCCAAAGACTAAAGTAGGCAACCAAACTGTTAATCCAAAGACTAAAGTAAGCTACCAAACTGCTAATCCCGAGTCTAAAGTAGACTACCTGACTGCTAATACCAAGTCTAAAGCAGTGTTCCCTCTAAGCTGCACGGTTGCGCTGCCGCGCAGTAGTTATGAGCTGCCGCGCAGTTATTTTGTAAAATAAATGTAACTTTCTATAAGATTTCTAGAACACCGCTCATACAAAATATACGTTGCACACTAGCTTTTCTTCCTTAGAGGGAACATTGGTCTAAAGTAGACTACCTGACTGTTAATCCCAAGTCTAAAGTAGACTACCTGACTGCTAATCCCAAGTCTAAAGTAGACTACCTGACACCTATTTGTAAGGTGGACCAGTAGACTGATGAAGGTAGGACTTAACATTAATTGGTACTGAGATCTGACTAGTAGTGTGAGCTACACACATCATCAACACTGAAAGGTAGGGTTTCACTGTAGTTAGATTTTCAACTAAGCAACACACAAAATTAAAACACAAATCAAATCTTTTTTTTTTAAATGAAGACTAAAATATGAGACTAGCAATAATTAAAAATGCATAATGTATCTCCTTGGTCAAACAGAAGCAGTAAGAAATGTGGCAGTCTGGAAGGCTAGGGTAGTATTAGTATAATCATGACCTACTGTTGTTGGTAATGTGGGAAAACAATGTGGTGTCTATGTGTAGTTTTAAACAGAGCTTCAGAATGGAAGGAGGGGGGGGGGGGGGGGGGGGGGGGGGGTTGATAGATCCTTAATAATTAAAGAGGGTGGGGGGTGGGGGCAAGTGCAATGTCAAAATAGGGGTGGGAAAATGTGTTAGAGATCCTTTAGAATGGTAGTGAGGGTAGGGGTGCTATGTGTAAAATGCGCTAATGGAAAACTGCACAACGGAAAACTTCGGTATTTGAAAATGCGCAAATACAAACTAATTATACTAATATACTTAAATTGTGTCATATTTCGTGGAAATAAGTTTTGTTATGTTACAATGTACATGTGGGTATTCTTTTCTAATGCCTATAAATGCTTGATTTAAGAAAACACAAATGCCCTTGCACAGCAGTTTTCCATTGCGCATCTCTCCGGTCACCAATAGAGAAACTTTTTTTTGTAGAAAACAGGATAAGACATGGCTTTAAACTACAATACATAGTGTTCAAGGGTTTATAACTCCTATGGGATTAGTGTCATGTTCTGGCTATAAAAATCTTGCCAATTCTTCAGACAGCTGAACATTGTTTCTCTAACTTGTATTGGCATTTACTTGGCAAAAAGCCTAGCTGAAGAAATTTCTCCTACATATTTTTAGTTTTAAATGCTAAGTCAAATGTAGCACTAAATTAAATAGTGTTTTTACTTTCAACTTAATGGGCACATAATGCATCATAATTTCAAACAATTCACAGCTGAATTAAATTCACAGATATATTGTTAATAAAATATAAAAAAATCTTGACACAGTGAGGCTATAGCCCTAGAATACATATCCCCTAGGGTGTGTCATTCCATTCAATACACTTATCTTTATACAAAATTTCCAAAAATATCAATCCCACTTTAAAACATGCAGCTGTTATGAATGAATTACAAAAAAAAAAAAACATTGAACAAAAATTTAAGAACACATTTGACTTGATTTACAGTGCAAGGCCCACCCACCCGCAACAGTTTAAAGTTAAAGGGGTGAAGTGTTACACAGGAGCATAAATAAAATGTGTACATTACTGTTCAATGAAATATGTACAAGATACACAGTACACCGAGTTGGTGTACAAACTTCAAGATGTATGTTGTAGAAATTGTCTCCACTTAGAAAAGTGTACTTTTAAAAAGTTGTCTCCCATTTCATAGAATTTGTAAAAATTATCTCCCCTCTCAAGTTATAATTTTTATTTTTTTTGTTCTCCCTTCCAGAGGTATTTTTTTTTAGAACTAGTCATTCCAGAGGTATGTAATTTACATGGTAAAAATGAAAAGACAAATCAATGAATAGTAAGCAAATATCACATAAGATCACAGTAGGTTAAACGTTCAACCACATAGCTGTATTTCAGTTCTTTGACACAAAAATGTTTCGATTACAAAAATTCTACAGACTTTCGCTTGGCTGTTCAAATACACACAGAAATAAAAATCCCACATTAAGAAAAAATCTGACATAATGTCACACAAATACGGCCCAAATAAAATTCTAATGTGTAAAGGTTAAAAAAAATATTCGATGCGCAAATCCTTATTTGGCTTAGGATAAAATAATTCACATATTGATCGCTTTAGGATGCAAAAACAGGGATGCAAGCTTTCAAACTTTGGTTAATTTATTAACCAAGTTCTACAGTGGAAAATAAATAAGACTTCCTTTTTTCCATTTATTCAAAACTTTGTACATCATGAATTAATTATAATTAACAGATTACATAACCAGCATAATCTTCACAAGAATGTGTCCTTTAATGATCAGATAAAGGAAATAAATTCTTTACAGGGCAAGCTACATGTCTCATTGTTTTACGATGAATATACATTTTCAGTTGATTGGTAGAAGGGTTTCAGGGATGACTTGGCTGTCAGCTCTCTAGAGCATCCAACACTTTCATGATTTGCTGTTTGATGACGCGGATGGCATCCGATGCTGTGGGAATGTAAAATCTGAGGACAAAAAAGATGAAATCATTCCTATTCTAAGCTTCAGTCTAAGGGCAATCTATCAATCTGATATAGACACATTATAGGTTTTTGAAACAAGAGTTTGTGATTTTGTTTTTTTATGTAGTCGTCTCTAGTCAAAACATTTAACCAAAATCTAACCCAAACCATCATCCTAGATACAAAAAGACATTAAAATATTTCATTATCATCTGATATAGACACATTATATTGGTTGTTGAAACAAATTAAGCAAGAGTTTGTGATTTTTTTTTATGTAGTCGTCACTAGACAAAACATTTAACCAAAATCTAACCCTAACCATCATCCTAGAAAGAAAAAAACATTAAAATATTTCATCATTGTTTTTTTTTTTTTTTATAAGTTTAAAACAAGATGTAGATCTTGATGTCTGAGAAAATTGATGGAAAAACAGAGGCATAGCGACCCTTCCCGGCGCCCAGGGACAAACTTTCAATTTGCACCCCCCCCCCCCCTCAAACTTTCGATTTGTTTTTCCAACCCATTTTGGCGCCCCCTAAGGTCGGCGCACGGGGACATGTGTGTGTCCCCCCCACCCCCCTCGCTACACCTCTGTGGAAACATCATAACTGGTAACAGTTCAGAGAAAAATATAAAATGAATAAATAACAGAACTAGAATTAAATCTGAGGAAATACCTCTCACAAACATACCGCATCCCTTCCTCCCAACGTTTTACCAAACACATCTGGCCCTCCTCTCTGACCTACAACTACCCCCTCCAACCAACTCACCTTTGAATATCAGACACATAAAAATTATCATCCTCATTTGTTCCGTACTTGAACGTTATGATCTCGGGCTGTTTCTTCTTAGAGGTAATTTTGATCACTGAGCCTAGGGGCCGGCGAGCCTGTATCAGGGCCATCCCTCTACGAGCTGCCACTTCCCGAAGGACATACAGGTGGCTGTATGTAACTAGCAAGTAGCTGAGGATGAGGTGATAAAAATTTATTAGAATAAGTAATCTGTTATTAAAACCTTTAACAAAATCCAGTGTTGAATGTAAACTAAAAGTCAAGTTCATTTTTTTAACTTGACGGTCTATGGGGCAAATGAAGTAGAGTTCACCTATTTCTGTGACTAGTCTGACCTTGGCATATGAAGAGATAGTGTGATCAGCACTATGCCCAGCCGCCTTTAATTTCCCTAACATGAGTTTGGTGGGATGGTAGACCGTCCCTGAGTCCACCCAACTCTGATGGGTGCCTAACTCATGTTAGGGAAAGTAAAGGCGGCTGGGCATAGTGCTGACCACACTATCTCTTCATATGCCAAGGTCACAGAAACTAATGAACTCTACTTGCCCTATAGACTGTCAGGTTTGAAAAGGGAACTTTACTTTACTTTAAGCAACCCATACCTGGGATAACCACGGCCATTGCTGCGGAATTCTGTACACTTGCATGAGTAGATAACATCACACTTCCGAATCCACGTCTCCAAACTGACCATCTCTTTTTCCTGCTCGTCTTCTTCTGATTCTCTGCCACTGCCTTCCTCGGCTGGCACCACAAGAAAGTTTTAAAATAAATTAATTTTTTTATTTATCAATCAATAAAAATTATAAACAAAGTAAAAACAAATATTGAAAAATGTAATTTTTTTAGTTAATTAATCAAATAGTGATTAAGGATATTTTCCTGTATGATTATTCTTCAAATATAACAGAAATAATGGTGCACATTTTAGATCTATCTGGTATGATACAAGAGTGTGTTTGACAACAACATTAAAAGAAAAAAAGTATCCAGGAAAAATAAATCTACAACATAATAAACCCATGGTGCAAAAGTATTTTTTATATTATTTCTATAGTCTTCAAATATGAAAGAAATAATTTTCCCATTCCTGATCTATTAAGGCAGGGGTCTCCAAACTTTTCAGTCCGAGGGCCGCATTAACTATCAAATTTCAGTTCGGGGGCCTGTTTCTTCCAGGCATGTCCTTGATTTTTCTGGGTAAAGTTTCTCAGCCATCACCAACAAACGTTTTTTCCTTGGACAAAAAGATCACCGCGGGCCGGATGAGGGGACATCGCGGGCCGCATTCGGCCCGCGGGCCGTAGTTTGGAGACCCCTGTATTAAGGTAAGACAAAGTTCAAGAAGGAAGTAAAAAGTAAACATACCTTCGTCTTCATCTCCAATGGTAAACACATTAGCCATGTTTCTGTACCTCTTGCCTGACCTCTCTGTACTGCTGACATGCCTGCAAGTACATAAGGGCGACTGTGAGGCTCAAATGTATCAGGGTTTAAACACAAAAAATAAAAAATTAAATAAATCAAAACAAGCAGAAAGTTCCAATAGTCTTAAAGTAAAGAATTAAATTACAAAAAATGTATAAAATTTACAATTAAGGTTTTTATGTTTTAAGCAAATTTTTAAAACAATTTAGTTTTTATAGCACAGAATTAACAGGAACAATGTGATAAACAAACGAGGTGATACTAATGGAAATAAGGATGTGTATTTTGAAATACAAATTGATGTATTTAAACATTTAAAAGTTTTGTAGTATCAATACACAATAGGAAAGTGTGGTGCTTTCTAATTTACAATAGGATGGATGCTAGAACAAAAAAAGTAGTTTTCAAAAGTAGTTGATGTGGGGCTTTAGAAACAATTGTGGAAAACAACATGAAACAAAAACAAATGAAAGAATTTAAGAAAACAAAACAAAAAAAATATCTAAATTAAATGTAACAAAATCAAATGAAAAGAACTATTTACTTCTCTCCCTGCCCATCATTTTTGATGTAGCTGGACAACTTTTCTTTCATCTCTGCTGACTTCGCCTTAACAGCACCAGATAACTTGCCCAGGAGATCTTTGGAAAACTGAAATCAATATGTCTTCATTTTACCATTTTGTAACTATTCATTAAATTTTTTTTTTAAATTTAAATACTTTTTTAATATAAACAAAAATTTATATTTTGACTCAATTCAGAATGAATCTAGTTCTCCAAATAGAAAAGACACATTAACATAACAATTTTTATACAATTGTTCTTACTAACAAAGCAGAAACAATCTTAGTTGATAGATACAATATTTAGTATATTTTATAGTATACAACAACTTTTAACTTATAATCTTTCATTAAAGTAACACAAAACTGTTATTTATGTATGCAAACATATCTGTAACTAAATAACTGTAATACGTAATACAAATCTATTTTACTAACAAGACAAAAAAAAAAGATTTATTGACTACTCTGATCATTGGCTTTGGGACAAACAGAATTCAGACAATTACTCCAAACCTATTGTCTACTGGAAGAGTATAGATATAAATAAATGTTAGAATAGTTCCTACTATACTAATCCAGATAATAGGAAAATTTAAAAAAGGCAGGTGCTCAGTTGTGTTTCAATATTTTATGAATACTAAATGTGTTCAATAAAAACATGGAATTGGATGGCTGAGCAGCAGAGTGCACAGCTGCTAACATGGAAGTCTCAAGTACAAATCCACAAACAGATTTTCTGGATTCAGGTCTAGAATCCACATTGCTCTGATGGGTACCTGATTTACTTTAAGTGACGTAAGGCATAGAACTGACCAAACTGTCCATCAGTTTTGGTCACAGGTACAGATGAGCTCAGTCCCATAAACATGGATCAGGTACCTACAGCAGAACTAGCCGAAACAATGACTTACATATTTCATAGGACTGTTCTCATCCTCATCTTTCTTCCTTGTGTGCACACCACTAGCACTGTTATTGGAAGCAGTGTCCCCACTATTATGGGAGACAACTTGGGAAAAATCTATGTCTCCATTCTGGGATGTGGCCCTCAGAATGTTGTGAATCGCTAGAAAAATAAAAATGTTAGGAGTTACATATTGATAAGCAATTTATTTAGTAAGGATATGCATATAGATATGAATATTTATAGAAAAAAATTATATCAAGTATAAACTCTGTATTAAGGAGATGTCAAATAACCCTTAAAAATCAGGTAAATTCAGGTTTTATAGGTGGAAATTATAAATTTTTAGATAATATCACAATGTTAATAAAAATCCGATGGAAAAAAAAAATAGAGCTTTGAACCAAGTGTTAAAGGAAATTTATTTGACATCAACAAAAAAAAAAGTTAATAAAATTACAGAGTAGCGTTTGGCATTCATTAATTGTAATGGAAATCCAATTTATAACTTGCATTATTATAGTTGTAACAGCACTTTTTAATGGCTGGGCAGTAATCCAGAAACATGCATACCTGGATAGCCGCCCTTGGCAATAGAAACATACTGCTTGCCCTTCTGTAGTATATTGGCCACAACCATATTGACATACTGATCCTCCTCTTCCCTTCCGCTGCCCATAAAACAAAGATGCTCACCTGAGGCTGCTGAACCTGAAATTTACAAAATAAAACAATTGGCTCAGGATGTTCAACTTAAAAAATGTGGAAAACTTTTTTGCATCAACTGCAAACATTTTTTTGTTGTAAACTAGGTTTTTATTTTTAGCATGTACAGCATTGCTGACAACATTATACTGTTGTCTTTTTTTTTTAATCTTCTTTTAACCATAATTTTTAGAGTTAGTAGAGCTCATTGATTTGAATATTTAGTATGAATAATGCAATACCTTCAACCTTAGAATTAAGAAAATGACTATAATTTGAGTTAGAAATGTTGATAGGATAAATGTTTAAGTATTGACCATAGTAATAACCAGCAATGGCATTGATGAGATGCCCCTAATCAGTATTGTTGACATAGATTGAAAAATCTTTTTTTTTGTAAATTTTGCCTTCATTGTGGTAGTAAAAATAATTTTCTTTAAAATTCTTAAAGTTGAAAAAAAAATTCACAAGAAGAAACATGTATCATAGTTACAAGATAAAGTTACAAGATATGAAGTTTCTTAAACTATTGTTAGAAAGATGATTAGCTGAGCACTCACCAGCAGCTAAAGCCTGAGCCTGTGCAGCAAACAAAGCCTGGACAGCCACATTAAACTCTTCTGGGTTCTGTAGCATCTAAACAACAAAAGCAATTGAATCGTTAGTTGCTGTTATTCTTAAAGAAATAAACAATGATAGCTTAGTTTACAGGCAGCACATATTAGCAGGAGTCGTGTGCTTGCAAAGTCACAAGTCTGGGGTTATGTAGAGGGCTTGAGTTCACCCAACTTTAATGAATACCTGACTTAAGTTGTTTACATAGATAACAACCAAATCTGTGTTGAAAAATGATACAACTCCACTCTACACATGGTTTAATTACAATGAGCATACAGGTTAAAGAGATGGAGTAAAAGCAAAAAAATTATGACAAAGATATCAACAGGAGAGCATTGATGCCCTTGTTCTTTATTTAATAAAATCTATTCTGTTTTAAGTTATATTTTTAAAAGGTTGTATTCAAAAAGAATAAAGTAATTTGGAAAGAAAAACATTTCACAGTTTACAGAATATGTGTCAATGCAAATATGAAAAAATTATACTGAGTATATTAAGAGTTATGAGGCCATATGTAACAGAAACATCAAAGTACTAGGTTTTCGTATAATTTGAAACCTGATAATTTTAGTTGAGACTTTTAAAAAAGGTATACAAATTGAAAGTAAAATGAATACATTTTTGTTTACAACTACATAACGTGTATAAATATGAATTTAAAATCAGATATGCACCAAGCTAGAATCCAGATGAAATGCTGTAGTTAAATGCTCTGTGTTGTACTGCTCTGCTGGTCTGCAGTCTACAACAAAATATCTCACAGAATCTTCCTGCAATTATAAAACATGGGTCATATGTCTTCATCTTTTAATAATATAACAACCATTAAAGTAAACAGTATAAAAGTATGTATCTGTGATTGTTAAACAACTATACAAGTGAATAATTTGCTTCTCAATATCTAAGTAATTACAATTTAAAATATATGTTTTAATATAAAAATCCTAAGCTTAAAACAATCGTTGATATCATTTAACTGCAGAGTGTTGAAACATATTGTATATGCTCTAGCTGCATGCCACAATCTTAAGCCAAAGAAAAATTACATGCACTATACCAGTAGGTTTTTTTGCCTATGTTTTTAGTAGTCTGTATAGTTGTTTGGGTTAGGTCCAGTGGCAAGAACATCATTTATTGTTAGTTAACAGGAGAGATTGTAATTTTAAGATTGGACAGATCTTGTTAAAACTGAATAGACCTACAGTGATAACACTGCTCTGGTTGGCTTGAAGAAGTTCTTCGCCAGATACAAGCAGGCATAAGGAGTCAATGAAGCTGTTGTTTTCTGCCTCCTTTTGAGCTACTATACTGTTGCCAAACATTGCCAGTTGGTAATCCTGAATAATAAAAAAAAAATCATTCTGACTAAAGCTGCTTAAAAACAAATATAATGATTATCACATTAAAATTTGAATATATATTTTTTTAAAATGCAAAGTACAGAACTGTTTATTTGGCACCTTTGTTTTATTCACACAAGTTACACTTTTTAAGGACATGGGCGGGTGTACTTTTCGTCATAAATCCACTAAATCATCGATTTCCCACTTTTACTTGATCTATACAGAATAACCATCGTTGAATCTAAAAATGACATTGTTATGACCCTAAAAACAGTATTTAATTATGAAATACCGGGTTCAATATAGTTTGTACAGGGTCTTTTGTTTAATTTTTTGGTAAAGATAGCAATTTTTCGACCTAAAAAAGTAATATTAGGCTTCGCGGAAACCTAATGTGTTTCATATCAATGGAAAGGCCGTGACCTCCTTTCTTTATTTGTTCTAAAATTAAATGACCAATCAAAATACCTATTTTTATGTGATTATTTTTCTACGTCATAAAGTTGTTTATTTTACTCAGTCGAGTTTTTCCGGTATGCAAATTTTTTACCTCAATTTTTTCATTGGCATACAACGGCGGAAGCTAGTTAGCGATTGGTCGTTTCGCTTCGGAAGTAAACATTCCCTTAGTTTCAGCGCGTTGCTAAGTTTGATCTAGTTTTGTTTCTCTAAGCTTCTGTGAAATACTTACATTATTTCAACATATAATTATTTCAATTAAATATACTATTAACAGTTTAGATTAGTAATCATGAGCAGTGAGACGATTTAATTTATTTCTCTTTCGATAATGGGTAGAACAAAACACTCACTAAAAATAGATACACACATCTAACTAATTTACTAAAGCTAGGGCACGTCCGAATGCAACTGATTGCAGCTACCTCTACTCCATCTAGCACTTTTCACACAAGCACTGGTGCAGATGTAATATGCACATTTACTAAAAAACTGCGGCAATGTAAGACACAGTTTTTACAGGCAGAAGAAAGCACTGTTACATCTAGTACTGGTAGTGCTAATTGTAAACCACAGCCATGCAGAATTATTGTCGACTGTGATTTGCTTCTTGATGTTATCAATACATTTCCTCGCACACTGTGATGTAGTGGCTACTATTGATGAAAAAAGTGTAAGGGGTTTGCTTCAAGCATGGTGTTGTAAAAAAAAACCGTAAACCGTAAGTATACAACTGCAAAAGAATCCAGAACAAGGCCTTTCACAATAAACAAAGACATCGTCTTATCATGATTGGCTTTAGACATGAGACCATGCAAAATATACTGCTGTTTCTGCGATAGCAGAATTCAATTTTGGGCTATGGCATTGCTGTCAAAAGAAGGAAACCATAGTCGAAGGACGCCAAAAAAGACGCCATGACAACAGCTTTAATACAGCTCTAGGTAAAACAAAGATCGCCAAAAAAAAAAGAAAACTAACAGCTGAACAAGCTCAGAAGGAATATATTCAGCAGCACCATACTTCAGGCTATAAATGTGGTCGATTTTAGTGACATACAGCGATAAATGTTCATTTTTTGCAACTTTTTGTTAGTTTTTTGCGTTTTTCTCAGTTTGATGTTTTTTTGTACAATTGTTGAAATAACTTTGTTAATAATTATCAGAACTGAACTAAATTTGCTCCAGTTACTCTTTATATATGTTCAAATAAAACTGATAGAACACTTTTGGAATTTTTGTAAAAAAAAAAATTTTGTTGTTGAAATAGTGAAAAAATTGGACGAAATAATGAAATTTTTACAGTGATGTTTGAAAAAAAAAAAGTAAAAAAAAACTATTTTCTTTTTTGAAAATGTAATCTATCAGAAGTCTTAAACACATGTGTCTGCAGACTATATTAAGTTTTCATGAAATTTGTAAAAACCATTTTTGAGTTATTTCCATTTAAAAATCGTCAATAAAATCCAATATGGCCACCGTCACCATGGCAACGGAAGATTTAAAAAATAAAAAAAAATATTTTTATGCTTAACTCTCTGAGTTATAACTATTAGCCAAGTATTACATCTTTAGACTCGGAAATAAGGAAGTTGGTACTCATCACCCGCCCATGCCCTTAAGTACATTAGTTGTGTCGTCGTCCCCCCCCCCCCCCCCAATTAATTAACAGGTAAAAACTAATTCTGTATTGAACAGCACTCACCCTCCTGTATGACTGGGGTGTTTTAGATTCATAATACTGTGCCAGTGAGCAGAAGTCTTCAATATCCTCAGGTTCCAGGGCTTGTGGGAAGGATGATATGAGATCTGACAATGTAAACAGGGAGCGTTACTGCCAGGAGTGTTATATTTTGGGATCTTGTAAACAATAGACACAAACACACCTATCAATATGAGAACTGTCAATGTAGAAAGGGAGTGTTATATTTTGGGATCTTGTAAACAATAGACACAAACACACCCATCAATATGAGATCTGTCAAAATAACTTGTTTTCCACATTATATATAATAAAAAAAATTTAACAAAATTTAAAACAGCTATTAAGAGATGTCATCATAGATTTTCCACAAGATAGAATATAAAAAAACATTTTAAACACCTCTTGTGAGTTGTGAACATCAAATTTGTATGAATGAGAAAATCTCAATAAACAGGATACACAATTTATCCAGAATTGCTGTGGTCTATTTAAAGAATGCAGGAGCATAAAAAATAGATGCCTTTTGTCTGAATCAATAGGGAAACTCATTCCTGCACTAGTCTTTGTATAGGCCATCACTATAGCCAAACATGTCTACAGGGTGACTGATATACATTATTGGCATATTACTATTATAAGCATCCCATCCACAACAGGCCTTTTCTTGCTTCTTATAGAAAATATCTGAAACTATCAGGCTCCTGTAGAATAATACAAGATATAATTTCCAAGACTCACCCATCAGTTCTTCTTTGCTGTGTTCTTTGTTGTCTAGAATGGATTCTCTGAAAATGGATATATTTAAGATGCTTTACATCAATATAATATCTAAACAACAGACAACTGAAGACACTAAAATGACAACACATAGCAATAACATACTGATAAATGACATACACGTAGCATAAAGGTAAAGACATACATGTAGCAATAACATACTGGTAAATGACATACATGTAGCAATAACCTACTGGTAAATGACATACATGTAGCAATAACATACTGATAAATGACATACATGTAGAAATAACATAAAGGTAAAGACATACATGTTTGCACTGCTCAAATGATTAACATGAGATATGGGTAGATGAAATGCAAACTACTGCAACAATAACACAGATGCTAATAAATTCAAATGATGATGATCAAACTGGATACAACAACATATGACATTAAAATAATGATTGCAAGCTTTCCTCACTTCAACAAAAAACCTCATGAGCTGGACCAAGAATGGGTCAGCATCCTGAGATATCGCATCCTACATTGCCAAGCAAACTGTGATATAACACAATTAATCACAACAACAACAAAAAAAAATAATGCAGGCTCCTAGTACTTATATACCATTGACTAAAATAACAAGTCTCAAGAACAAGACCAAGAATGGGTCAGCATGCTGAAATATCACGTCCCACACAGCTAGGCACACTTGTAGATAACACAACTGACCACCGTGACAAATGAAGTACTCACCTTCCATTGACTAAGATAACAAGCCCCATGAACAAGACCAAGAATGGGTCAGCATGCTGAAATATCACATCCCACATCGCTAGGCACACTTTTAGATGACAAACATGTCCAAACAAGCTGTTGAACTAAGAAGTTTAAATAGTTAGAACATTTACACTAAGAACTTACCACTGCATGATTAGAAAAAAAGAAATTCCTACAGGGCGGGGGATGTATTTGACAAGGTTGTAATTACTTCGGGGGGTATTGTTGGAGGGGTTGGGAAATGTCCCAGGTGTAATTGATAGGAGGGGGGGTAATGCCGTTACCCCTTTTTTGGACCTGATAGTCAATAGAGGTAGGTAGAGTACAGTTCATCTGTTTCTGTAACCATGGCATAAGAAGGGATACCATGGTCACACTTAAGTCCCAAATCTAAATAATTTCCCTGGTGTTAGTCAGGTACCATCACAGTTTATGGGTAGCAGTTGAGCACTCTACTGCCTGGCCTTGTTGCCTCACATCAACAGAATATTGTTTGAAAAAGCCGTCTTTTGAAGATGTGTCGGAGCAAAGCTATTCCTATATACTAGTTTAGGATTATTATTGCTTTTTGTTAAGACCTTATGTTAAAACCATGGAATTATTTTTTTTTTTTTTTGCATTCAACAAAACTTTACTTTTAGCGTTTATCCATTTAGTCTCACAATGTAAAAAGAGTCCAATTAGATTACCACCTTTAAAATAATCTTGCGTTAAAATATGTAGCTATTATCAATATTATCCTTACATTTCATTAATTAACTAACTTGTAACAGCCTACCCATGGCATGGAGTAAAGGTCAGGGGTCACCCTCTTGGTGTCCAGGTATGAGCACAACTCTGGGTCATGGTACTGCAGCAATAGACGAAACAAGTGGAACAGTTTCCCATCTTTCTTGCACCCACTGTACAAAACAGAAATTCAGAAAAATATTTCAATTACATTTTTAAAAAAACTTTTTGTCTGTGTAAGAATGATTTAAAATAATGTTAAAGAATAATATTGTAGAATTATAGTATCAGATGAGAAAAAGTAGCCTATAAGAAAGCTGGGCATAGGAAAAAGTCAGAAAAGCTTGATCTTTTTTATTCCATACTTGTGTCGTTAACAAATTAATTAAACAACAAATTAAGGTGTTGTGATGTAATACATTGCTAATCCTTACTTCAATCTGGAGTATACAAAAACATCGGAAGATAATAACTTTCAGCATGTAAACTTTTTGTTTTACCTTTTTTTTCTTAACTTTACACTACTCTATAGTTAAAAACCAGAGAAAGATCCTAAGATGATTTAACTGTAAAAAAATTTAAACTTAGATAGTGGTATCATGCTTATCAGAAATTCAATTTCCCATTGTAAAAAAAAAATATATATATACAGTATACCCAAGATAAAATATAGAAAAAACATAAAGAGGCAATTTACAAAAATCAATGAATACTTACTGTGGAATAAATTTATTCTGTATGGCGTAAAAACAGCTGTACATTTCTGAGGGGCTCATTTTAACAGCCAACAATATTTGCAACAAGTCCATCCAACCGTTGTCCTTGGAGTACTTGACCCCTCGTGATTTACAGTAGAAGGTGACAATGGTTTCCATGTCACTGACGATGGACACTTTATCTTCTTCATCATTGCCTAGGTTGTCTGTAACAAGACCATGAATAAATCTTTCTTAATATTTGTGATTTTCAGTTATAAGTTATTATAGAAATAATCTGGCTTTGACTATCTAAATCATACAACCCATCAAATGAATTCTTACCTACTAAATTCTTGCAGTCCTCCCTAATCTGGCTTTGACAATCTAAATCATACAACCCATCAAATGAATTCTTACCTACTAAATTCTTGCAGTCCTCCCTAATCTGGCTTTGACAGTCTAAATCATACAACCCATCAAATGAATTCTTACCTACTAAATTCTTGCAGTCCTCCCTAATCTGGCTTTGACAATCTAAATCATACAACCCATCAAATGAATTCTTACCTACTAAATTCTTGCAGTCCTCCCTAATCTGGCTTTGACAATCTAAATCATACAACCCATCAAATGAATTTTTACCTACTAAATTCTTGCAGTCCTCCCTAATCTGGCTTTGACAATCTAAATCATACAACCCTTCAAATGAATTTTTACCTACTAAATTCTTGCAGTCCTCCCTAATCTGGCTTTGACAATCTAAATCATAAAACCCATCAAATGAATTCTTACCTACTAAATTCTTGCAGTCCTCCCTAATCTGGCTTTGACAATCTAAATCATACAACCCATCAAATGAATTCTTACCTACTAAATTCTTGCAGTCCTCCCTAATCTGGCTTTGACAATCTAAATCATACAACCCATCAAATGAATTCTTACCTACTAAATTCTTGCAGTCCTCCCTAATCTGGCTTTGACAATCTAAATCATACAACCCATCAAATGAATTCTTACCTACTAAATTCTTGCAGTCCTCCCTAATCTGGCTTTGACAATCTAAATCATACAACCCATCAAATGAATTCTTACCTACTAAATTCTTGCAGTCCTCCCTAATCTGGCTTTGACAATCTAAATCATACAACCCATCAAATGAATTCTTACCTACTAAATTCTTGCAGTCCTCCCTAATCTGGCTTTGACAATCTAAATCATACAACCCATCAAATGAACTCTTACCTACTAAATTCTTGCAGTCCTCACTAATCTGGCTTTGACAATCTAAATCATACAACCCATCAAATGAATTCTTACCTACTAAATTCTTGCAGTCCTCCCTAATCTGGCTTTGACAATCTAAATCATACAACCCATCAAATGAATTCTTACCTACTAAATTCTTGCAGTCCTCCCTAATCTGGCTTTGACAATCTAAATCATACAACCCATCAAATGAATTTTTACCTACTAAATTCTTGCAGTCCTCCCTAATCTGGCTTTGACAATCTAAATCATACAACCCATCAAATGAATTCTTACCTACTAAATTCTTGCAGTCCTCCCTAATCTGGCTTTGACAATCTAAATCATACAATCCATCAAATGAATTCAGAGCATCTTTACCAGCTGTGCCCAAGCATATCTATTTTTATAATTGAAAAATAAAATACTTTGTGATAAAAACAGCAAAACAAAAAATGTGTAAATGTAAAGCAAAGGATTTTTTTTCTTTAACAAAAATAAGAATTTAAAAAATGCATTTATTACATTATTTACACCACCCCATCACATATAGACCTACTGAAATGATAAACCACCGTTAGTGTTAGCCCTCATTGTGTTATATATTAATGAGTGCCTAGGTAAAGATAAGTAGCCTATGTAATAACTACCAATTTATTCAAGTTGGTTGATAAATTACTTATTACATACTTGCCAAACTTCAGCTCTCAAATGTTCTGGAACAGGTCTGCCCTTGCATATATTACGTAAAGAGCCAAAGTCACACTCTTCAACTAAGGCAGTTTCTAGCTCAGACAACCTACACATTAAAAAATGAACAGAGATAATTAAGGGGGCACACCACCGTACATACAAAAATTCACAAAAAATTTTTTTTTAAGAAGACAAACATATGTATTGCAGATATAAAGATATTTTATATTCTTTTAGACCAATGTGAATGTGTCATCAGCGTTAGCCGATAAAAAAATACAGAAATAAATGATTTAGACATATCATACTTCAATCTATAAAACTCAATAACCATTTAATGTATTGACTTTTAACTTCTAATTTAAATAAAGGAGAGGATTCCTAACAGGATAATAGATAGACTTTTTGAATATATGACAAAATGTTGAAGTTACAATTTTTTTGTTTTTAGATTAAAATATTAACCATGAAATCAACTTTGAAATTCTCTAAAAACAAAACTACTCAAGATAACCTAAAAAATTCTATATTACTCTAACTGTAATTATGTTGTGTTTCTACTGTACAAATTTCATTTAAATCCAATAGATAGTATTTGAGATTCATACTTTTGAAGTTTTAAAACTGGTAAAAAAACAAGATTGTGAGAAAAAGGGGAAAACGTGTTTGAAAATGAAAAAAAACTGTTAAACACTCTTTATATCTTATCAAAAGCTTATCATATAGTTTAAGCAATGTATACAAGATACTTTAATCAAAGTTTCAATCAAATCAAGCAATAATTAGTCTTGGTAATTAGGTTTAATGAGGTGCACCCCCTAAAAATAAATTGTAAATAAGAGTTATCAAAAATATTTTTAAAATTAATAAAAGCTTTTAAAACAAATAATATCCTAGTAAAAGCTTATTAAATAGTTTTAGTATGTACAGAAGTTACTATTATCATTTGGTTTCTGAAATTAAGGAGTAATTATTCTTCTAAATCAGGTTTTATAAATGCACCCCTGAACAAAAAACTTCAAAACAGGTCAAGTAAAATTTACAAAAAAATTAAATTAGCTTACAAAAAAGCTACATAGAGGTACAGTATACAACTCTGAAAACATTTGCATAGTTACAGTAGGCCTAATCATTCTCTATTTAGAAAGCCGAAGAAAAATATGATGATCTGCCTTCAGCCTGAACTAGTTTCTGTTGGGCTATGGGTGAAATAACAGCCATCTTTCAGCATTACTAACTGTCATGTAATCCCATGATTGGGGCCATATGCCTAGATGCATGCAGAAAGACTTTCATTTGGGTTGAATCTATCATGCAACTGCTCAATATGGCATTTGTCGTCAGTTGCTAATAAACATTTTGGACAGCTTTGGCAACATGTTCTAAGATGAATGATGAACCTTTGTGAGATAGCGGTGTTGAATTATGTACCATGACACATTTGCCAGAAGCACCAGGAGGTTTTCCCTGTCTGGCAATCCTGGTGTGTGTCCTTTCATCTGTCAAAGGGACATGATTAGAAGGAGCTCCAACTTTCCACCTCAGTTCCCTGTACTGCCAGTCTTACTTGAAACTGCCTTCTTGAAGTAGGTCTGGAGATTTTTTTTCAGCTGCTGAAATGAGATTGAGACAATATACTGATCTATACATTCTAGCTATCAGAGTGATTTCAAGAATTCAAACAAGTTTGACAAATCCTAATACCTGCGTAAGACTTCCAATCTATCCACTCAGTGCATTACAGCGATTAGACTGCAGAAGCACTAAATTTTCTTTGCGATGGTTGGTGGAAGTAGTGTAGCTGCAACCGATGCATGTGCACTGAGATGCAGGTACTGTAGGTGCATCTAGTGCATCTGTGCAGTCCCAAGTGATGTGCATCAACCCTAGCAAGCTTGGCAGCACTAGCTTTGAGACTTCAGGCATTGACTGTAAAAATATTTAAAAATAATAAGGCATAGGACTTATTGTTATTTCTAGATCTATCTATTATTCTATTATAAACTATTGTTTGTATTTATAGACTCATATTTACCTATTTAGATCTGGACTAGAATCTAAATTCTACTTCTAGATCTTGATCTAGGTTTTAGATTTAGAATCTCCAATCTAGATCTAGTTCTAGATCTAGAATAGATCTAGAATCTAGATCTAGATCTAGATTCGAGATCTAGATCTAGAACGACTCATTATCGATAAGGAATAATAGTCCAAGTTTATATTGATGAAAATACAATTAATAACTATATTTTAGAAAATAATTTCAGTAAAATAGTAATTAAATCAAATCTTACCGTAAAAAGAAGCCAACAAACAAAAAATATGCACTTATTTGATAAAAAAGAAGCACACAGGTTCGCAGATGTCGAGTAAAGGAAGTCATGCGCTGAGCAAAATAATAGCCCGTATCTCGGCAACGGGTAACATTTCGGTCATATGTCGCCTTGACATGAGCTAATTTTAGTAACTTACAACATGGCTTCGCCTGGTAACCAATGGGAATACAGCTTTTCTTATTTCCATCATGCATTCACCTCGCGATTTCTATTTTAGTATTTAAAACTAGGTCAATGTATTTAGGTTATTTAAATGAGCAATTGCAAGCCGGTCATTCTGATATACGGCTTGCTATGCTAGGTCGCTTAGTTAAGAATCTACAGGCATGTTTATGGAGGCCATTTTTCCGTAAATTTATATTTTTCCAGGCACACACACCTTCTTCAAATGCACAAATATGTATGAAAATGTCAATTTACAGTTAAAACGATAACGGCATTAGGTAAATAAGATGTTAATGTATAGAAATAAAAAATAAAAAAAAATCGAAAAAAAAATAAAAATAAAATAAAAAATCAAGCTGAGTACGGTGTTGTAGCCCCTTAAATCTATTATCATGGATATGGATTGTTAATTGAAAATGAAATTTGATAGTACAAAAAAGATCTCTAGGTCCTATATAGACTTTTTTGGTGTACACTGTTATAGTATATGATTCCGGAATAATAACCTACACTAAACTTAATTGTTATTAATTAAACTAAGGTTTTACCCTACTTTCTAGTATTCTAGGACTTAACCGTCCTTAACATTAATTAACTTAACGTCACTTATGAGACTACTAGATTAGTCGATCTCCTTACCAAAACCGGAAGTCAGAACCTGACCCTGAAACGTCATGCTCTTTTAGTTTTCGCATTTTAAGTGTTTTTGGGGGGTCCTATATACAAAAAATGAAAAAACTGCTAATCTAGCAATATCTCATCACTATTTTAATGCGAAATGCTAAGGAAATGGATACTAAGGCTTAAATGCCAGAAACATTTGCGAGATATGTAGTAATAATTAATACAAGCATTTCTTATGGAGCACTCTCATTAGGAACTGAACTGCAACGAAAAACGACCGACCACCGGGCATCAGCGCTCGACAGCTCCTAGAGAAATATATATTTGAGATATTTACCATGATTAATTACATTGATGATGGTTCCCCTTTCCAAAATCCAATTCACCATAGAAATACCATGCCTCTGCTATTTTTAGTAACGTTACGTCATTGTTACGCTAGTTGTCAGATAGAAACAACTAATTTTTGTTTTTTGCGGAATGCACTGTTAAGTCTAGTATTTTAATTATAATTCAGTTGTAGCGTGTGTAGAAATTGTGGACATTATTATTGTATTAAAGTATTAGTAATTTTATAAGTATATTGATTTTTTTTCTTCACTGCAAGCCAAGTAGGCCGACTGTACTGTTAGTTTTATTGAACATAATTCATGACCGGTTGTTAACCTTGTAAATACTACATCTAAATACTTCGTGGCCTACCCGACTGCATAATTTATATGAAATTATATGTAGTTTTTAATTAGGCCTTAGTATTGTATTTTAAACAATGCTCATTCCGAGCCTTTTTTGTGCTAAATCTAATTAGGCCTACTGGCAATTTTTTTTTATTTTTAGACTTGGTCAACCTCGTTAATGCTGTTGTGTTAGTTAAACATATAGGAATTGTGTGTAAAATTTACGCAGTTACTCAGTTACTAGATCTACTTAGTACGATATCAATAAATAAAGTAGTATTTATTTCCTTTTAGCAATCTATTGATACAAAATGTCTAATATTTTATTTTCCAATACATCGTGGTGTGTGGCAGAGTAAACAGAACGGTGCGGTAGGTGACCTAGAATCTCCGAGTTCGAATCCGAAGTAAATCAGTTGTGCTTTATTTTATTGTTTCACATTGGAAATGCCACGAGCGGCTTTATTTTCTTTCTTTTTTAAAAATATTTTTTTGATCGAAATAATATTTTATAAAATAATTATTCAAGATTTTCCAAACATCGTCGCTCGCATCGCTCGCGAGATCGACTGCTTACATTTTCTTGTCTGCGGGAGAAAAATGTTGACACGGTCGAGGGTTCACCGTGAGTTCAGCAGGCCTACCATACATACGTCACAGCATTAACGATTGCTGTTAGAGATCGTCGGTGGGCAAACCCACCCCTCCCCTCATAAACCAAGCAAATTGTAAAACAACTTAGGGTCATTTTAAGTTCATGCAAACTTACAGGACTATAGATTTACTACGCATAGCTGGTAAAAAAAAAAAAAAAAAACTTCGCCTAACCTAATGCTACTACAGAAGAGAAAAATAATTATAGAGTATTTATTTTAAAGTTTAAAAAAAAGTTGATTTATCATCTTACCTAATACTGTATTGTCTTTACAGTTAGAATGCCTAGATCTAGATTTCTGTCAGATCTATTTTTAGTTTTGGATATTAATTTTATTATCATCTTCATGGGTATTGATTGTTCAATTCATCATGGAAGGCCTAATGTTTTAAATTGTACATTATACATAGAATTTAAAATAAATATGTCTGATATTTCTTTAATAAACATAATGAATATAAAGTTTTATTTCCAACAAAATGTTTTGGTTTTTTTTGGTAACTAAAATACCCAATGTTGTCGTAATTGCTATGACATCATGCTACGAATGGAAAACACAAACCAACGTAACTTTTTGAGCTTTTTTGATGGCGAAAAAGAGTTTCGCATTTTAAGAAGTTAATTGGTCATTTTGTTTTTGGTTGTTTTCTTGGCCCCTAATTAAGCTAGACCATTAAATTTGGTCTCAAATTAACCAGTAAGTGATATAGTTGGTAAAACTCCATTTCAGCGTATTTTATTCTCCGCTTCTCGGCTACCTCCAGATGAGCGTATTTTATTATAATAACCGAAACACACCAAAACATTAGGAAAACACGATTTATTTATTTGTATTGTATTTTTGTTTTAACAAATTATTAAAAATGAATATTTAAAAAAACACGATTTATTTATTGTATTGTATTTTTGTTTTAACAAATTATTAAAAATGAATATTTAAAAAACACGACTTATTTATTTGTATTGTATTTTTTGTTTTAATAAATGAATAAAAATGAATGTAAACCACAAAGAGACTGACTGAAATGCTTTGTTTGTTGGTTACAAATAATAAAAAAGGTAGTCACACAAATTCAATTCAATGCAAAAAGTAATAGTAATAATATTCTTTTAACAAAAAATAAATAAATATAAAATGATGATTTTAATTTCAAATTGTTATATATCTGCATCTTCGCCATGTAGAATCCAGTTACGTCAAACCCCAAATGGGTTGGCAAAATATATTTTTCCATGCTCCCGATCTCCCGGTAACTTCCGGTTAATTTTTGTTTAGTGTTCCAATCTTATTCAAAAATCCAAAAAGTGCTGTATTTAAAAATATATATATATTAACATTTGTGGTTGATTTTCGTATCAGTTCTGTTTATAATTTATTTAATTGTTATAAACTATGCAACATGGCAGGTAGACCAAAAGTAGAACGTACTTCCATTGTAGATCCTGCCGAAATTTTAGATGCCGCATTCGTTGAACATGAAATCTGGTGCATCGCATCACTGGCACTAATCCTAAATGAGACAGAGTCTGCCTTGATATGGCTAGCCAAGCGTAGGTTGCTTCGCAATACTATGATTTGTGATAGCTGCAAAGAACTATGCAAACTAATGACATATCGCCAAGGAATAGATGAGAAGAGGTGGGCGTGTCAACCATGCGGATTTAGGAAAAGTGTCCGTGAAGGTTCATTCTTCACAAAAAGCCACTTGACCTTGAAACAGATAATAATGTTGATTTACTGCTTTGCGCAGGATATGCCCCAAAGTCTTAGCAGACATGAGGCGCAAATTGAGAATGAAAAAACTGTGATTGATTGGTTTAACTTTTGCCGGGAAGATTCGGCGAGATTTTTGGAACGGCGGCGAACTGAGATTGGAGGCATGGACGAGCATGGAAATCCAATAATTGTGGAGATAGACGAGTCAAAATATTTTCATAGAAAATATCATCGCGGTGCATGGCATGAGGGCCATTGGGTTTTTGGAGGGGTAGAAAGAGGATCGGGCAAGTGTTTTTTGATAGAGGTTCCAGACCGGACAGCTGCCACTCTGGAGCCAATCATATTAGACCATATTCTGCCTGGAAGTCATATCATATCTGATGGTTGGGCCTCATACAATAACATTGGCAATTTGGGGAACGGTATATATACGCATTCAGTGGTGGTCCATGAGCGCCATTTTGTGGACCCTGACGATGCCGACATCCACACGCAGAATATAGAAAATCTGTGGATGAGGGCCAAAAGGAAGCTAAAACGACAATTCGGAACCAGCCGAATTCTGTTTCCATCGTACTTAAAAGAATTTGAATTTCGGTGTTCTGTTGTAGGGGGGAATGTTTTCAGCTCATTCCTTTTGGTGCTGGCTGAATTGTATCCAGTCTAACTCTACTATCATCCACTATTCTTCAATACTACTTTCTAAAACCTAATAAAAAATCTATCGGTTTTAAACTTCAACTGCTATCTAAGTGTTCTACTTTCTCTTTGGTTGGGCTATACATCTTTCTGCTGATTTCTACCTAGTGACCAATGGCTTCCTACTTGAATTGCTGAACTATTTCTGTTGCATAAACGTGTGTCGTCACGCTTTGTAACCTGTCACAAGTTATTTTGTGTAGGCCTACTTTTTAAAAAAAGGCATTTGTCTCCTGGTGAAACTGATACACTGTTAATTATTCTTTATTATAGTTTTGTATTGTATTTATGCTATATCTTACTATGTTATTTAAATTCATAGAACTATCATTTCCAATATCTTGATATAATTATCAAGTATGTTTCTGTATGAGTACATTTTTCATGATTTTTGTATTTCATCTAAATGTACAAACTTTGTGTTTTTTTTTATTTGACAGTTTTACAAAAAAACTGAAAAATATTTATACTGTATAGTTTATGTTATTTACATTCATAGAACCATCCTTCCCAATATTTTGGTTTAATTATCATGTATGTTTTTTTTTTGTATAGTATGAGTAAATTTCTGACTTAAAAAAAAAATCATTAAAATGTAAATAAAAAATTGTGCTTTTTTACTTTCTCGTATATACGAAGTATAGAGAAAGTATTGTAATCGTGCACAAAAATCATTTGAAATTTTAACAATTTTCACCGTTTTACACCTCAGTCCTTCATCACATCCGAAGTATAGAGGACTTATTTTAATCGGGCAAAAATTATCAATCCAGATTTATCAAAATTAAGAGGTTTTATGCGTAATCCAGTCTGAAAAACTGGACTTTGCAATTCTGTCCGTATGTCTGTGTGTGTGTCTGTGTGTGTGTCTGTCCGTGTGTAAACACGATAACTTGAGTACCGTTACAGCTAGGTTGATGAAATTTCATATATAAGTATTTTATCAAAATCGTAGATCCGTATCAACTTTTGAGCGATTTCCGATAACCGGAAGTGGTACTTTTCCTACTTTGAATTTTTTAAAAGCCTATAACTTGAGTACTATTTCAGATAGATAAATGAAATTTCACATGTAAGTAAAAGATCTAATTCTCTACCTTCTGTTAAATTTTGAGTAATTTCCGTTGACTGGAAGTAGTAATTTACGCTACTTCCGATTTCTCAAAAAACTAATGTAAATTTTTAAAGTACTAATAATATTGCGCACTATTATACGCGTTTTTATTCGGCGTTTGCTTGGTGCGCAATGTTTTTTTTATGAGATTATATTCTATTTTTAAAAGTTTAAGTATTTAAAATGATTAAAAATCATAACTATATCCCCAGTTACCATCCCCTGTTGTTTTATATAAGAATATTCGAGAAAGTTTAGGGGAGATCACTACCGGTTTATTACTTGTCAGTTTAGTCAAAACTTTAAGAAATGTCATAATTTGATATAATAAATTTGTAAATTTGTATTGTGGGGTCATCCATAAATGACGTCACGCTTTTTTGGACGATTTTACCCCCCCCCCCCCCCCCCTTCCCCCATTCCGGCAGCATTATTAATTATTATTATGCCTTTCATTCAGTTTGTTTAGTTGAAATTGAACACTTATTTGTACAAATTGTGCATTTCTATTTTTTGTAACCAACAAACAAAGCATTTCAGTCAGTCTCTTTGTTGTTTTTATTCATTTGTTAAAACAAAATAAAAATAAATAAATCGTGTAGCATTTCAGTCAGCCTGATTGTTGTTTTCATTAATTTTTATTCATTTGCTAAAACAAAAATACAATACAAAAAATAAATCGTGTTTTCCTAATGTTTTGGTGTGTTTCGGTTGTTATAATAAAATACGCTCAACTGGAGGTAAACAAGCAACGGAGAATAAAATACGCTGAAATGGAGTTTTACCGATATAGTTTGTAATGATATTATATCATAAGTGACAGACAATTTTAATTTAAAAATTTAATAAGAAAACCTATACTAGATCTAGATTTAGCATTCTAGCTAGAAGACTGACTAGACAGACACTAGAATCTAGATCCTAGATCTGACTTGAGTCTAGAGATTTACTAAATCCTAGGCTAGGAAATCTGAAATCATTATCTGTCTGTAGCTGGTAGCTAGACTAGATCTAGGACTAGATCTAGATCTAGATCTCGATTAGTAGCTCGCAGCTCAGCTAGAGTAATCTAAATTACTACTAAATTCTAGACATACTGCGTAATAATTGTACATGAAACAACATAATTTAGATCTAGATCTAGATAATAAAAACGAAAGTACCAGCTCGTATCATCTTCCAAGCCTCCCCCAAGACTACCATCCGCCATTTTGGACCATTGACGTGTTTATCAAAAGGTGAGCAAAATATAAACATGCGATAAAACATAACAAAGTTGACATTTTACTGCCGTAAATCAATTGAATTAAATTTTATATTTTATAAAATATTGAGTTTTATGATATGGAAAATATTTCTATTTTATATTCTCAAACTTAAGCTGAATGTATTTATTTGTTTCTTTTAAAGTTATACTGAAGGTATAAATAAGGAAATGCATTTTGTAAATAACAACTTTGGATTTGTATTCTTCCGGTTCAAAATTGTAATAAATTCTGTTTGTTTTGAGACATCTCAAGCTGTTGAAAAATCAAATGCAGGAGCATTAATTTTTTTCTTATCACATTTCAATACACGATAAGGGTAATTTTTTTCCTACTATCTAAAAATAATATTAAAAGTTTTAAAAGATTCAGAAATATAGAACAGTAAATTGTAAATGCGATGTCAGTCAGACTTTTCAATGTCACTGCGACTGTCGGACTGTGACTAGACTTCTAGTCACTAGAGTAGAGACTAGAATCACTAGGTGACTAGATCTAGATCTAGAGTTGTTAGACTAGATCTAGATTCTAGAATCTGGGTCTACAAGTACTACAAGTAGATCTAGACGTCTAGTAATACTGAGAATAATACAGAACAGACTCTCATTACAGTTACACTAGTAATCACTAGTTAGTATTACAGAGACTCTCACCACAGTCACAATAAATGACTTTTAAAAATAAATGTGGCAGTGCATTTGTAAATTAAAATATGTAATAATGTACGATTGTTATTTGGATAATTTCAGTGAATTTCACTTTGCATCATTTGTAGATTTGTATGTTCAGTTTTCATTGTTGAAAGAAATTGGTGCCACTTTTCCAGGATGTCTCGGCTTCAAGAATATTCTTTTTTCACTCTCAGAATTGCAAGATTTGAGTTAGGCTATAACTATAACTCTTTTAAACCGTAACAACGCTCTCAGCGGTTGACATGCCGGCCTGCCATACAGTAATGACACTCCCAGCGTCCTATAAAATTTTCTCTAATTTCTGAATCCAAGTTTACAATAGTAAATCTAGGTCATGATAATTTTTTGCTGTATTTAGGCCTATATCTTGTAGTTTTCTTGTTAGGTTGATTTTGTATTTTTAGTAATTTTTTGTAAAACATCTTGCAAAACGGCATTTTTTTAACACAGTGGAATGCTATTCAGCGGCCGCATCTAAATGTTTATGTAGTCACATTATAAAATTAACCAAAATTAAAGTATTTATTAAACTGATCCATAATTTTTGCCCGAAAAAATCAACTCTTTTTTTTTCTTCTTTAAAACTAAGTAATTATCTTTCTTTAAAAAATAAATAATTATTTAAAATTTATATTTGTATAGGGCATTCAATTACGGTTAATTTTTATCAATGTGTGGGATTTAAAATTAAATCAACGGGTTAAAAGATTTGGGTCGTTTAGCAACAGGGGTACTAAAAAAAAGGAGTGAAAAAAAATAATTCCGGTAAAACGTGAAAATAATAACGGGCTTAAAGAGTTAAAATATCAGGGTTTGCTGTTATAAAAAAAAAAACAAGACAGCTTTAAACTTATAAAAATTTTGCATTATAGTAAATGTTTTTTATCATCAAGAGCCAAGACTCTAGAGCATTGTACAGCTTATGGCCCTTTCTGCTATCAGCGCACGCCTAGATTTCCATTGATGGTACATATAATATCCACTGATGTGTAAATCTAGAATTTCAATGATCATTATTCCACTACTTTTGTTATCATAGGCCGATGCAGTAATTTAAAAGGGTTTCATCAGCATGTTACCAGTTTTGTATTTTTTATTTTCGTATGTGCATCATGTTATTTTCTAAAACAGCTTTGACTGTATGTTAATCCCACACTTTAATAGTGAGGTAGAATCCACCTCGGCAACCGCACAGGTGTCGGGCATAATGGGGTGCTCTCTTGAATCACTGGTTACAGTATTGCAGGGGCACCAGGTGCAGTCCCTGTTTTGGTTTAATTATCAAATGTGTGTCAACATGTGCCTATTATACGGTGTTCTTTAAAATTAAGTAGATACTTAAGTGCTCACACCTGCCAGGGCGGCGAAGGACACACATGAATTGGATTTAATGAGCTATTGAAGTAGCCCATTGTATCACACTTCTTAAAACTAGTGTAGACGTGCTCACAGGGTACATTATCATAAAATATATATATTTAGTCATGATTTTGATTTTTTTTTTTAATAGGAGGATGGGATCACTTATTCAAAAGTTCCCCTTTTGAACCAGATGTGTAGAAGAAGTAGTTCACCTGTTTCTGTGATTGTTCGTCTAAACTTCAGCCACCTTTAAGTATTGTTTCTCTCTTTTATTTTTAGAATGGACGATGATGGCCCAGCCGACAGCAACACAGATGAATTCTATGACATCATAGACTCCGTTAGCAACCAGAATCTTAAAAGCAACAATAATTCATCCCCCAATCAAGTCTCATCCAGGAAAAACAGTAAGGATAACTAATTTTAAATCTTTCATTTGTATATAGCTTTTTACTGTAGCTGTGCACTGAATCGCTTTGGTCATTATTATACTGATGCTGGCGTTTTTAGTGTTACATATATCTCACCCCAAAAATTTTGTAACATGTTTTTAATTAACTAACGAGTATTATTCTTTTTAACTTGAGGCTGAAATATGATATGTTGAGATTTTTTAACACATGGTTACTGTAAATTCAATAAAACATTTAAAAATAATTTTGATCATTACTCAAAAAAATTTTTTATACTATTAAACAATTTGTAAACTATAACTTTAAGTATATTTATATAACTGTCAGTATGTTGATAACTCTCTAACCTTAGGTTCATTATGCAAAATGACCTCTTAAAAATATATTTATCATCACCTATATCTGCTTTTTATAATATATATATATAACAATAATAACATATTATTAAATATTTATTCTAATTTATTATTACCATTTAGATGATCTGACCTGCGAGTAAATTTTAACTTGTTAAATTTATTTTAATTAACTTTTATTGTAAAATATTGACACTACTTTTCTGGTATATAAATAGCTGTCAGAGGTAGAGTTCCCCTGGCTTTTGTTGATGCTTAAATACACTGATGCTCTCTGTAGAATGCTAAAATGTGTTTTGATAACCCTAGCAGCTGAAATTATACCTGCTAATAGATCCATACCACCTTGTATAGTTTTATTTAAAAAATCCTGTTTTGATTATGATAACCACTTGTATTGTTATGCTGTTTAAACCTGCTTGGTCAACCCTCGCCATGGCCCTCATTTCTACCAGCATTGACAGGTTCCCAGTCCTCTGATGTTAGTGTGCACCTGTTTATCAATGCAGCCTCCCTGGACAGCTCTAATAACCTTGATTCCCATGCAGGTATTGATATACGGCCATGAATCTAAAAAATGTTTATGCCCCAGCTTTGTGAAACAGTTTGAATATATATATTTTTTTTTAATTGTGTTTTCACTGTGGCTTAATTTTGTTGCTTTTTAGAAATATATATTTTTTGTGCTTTATTTTATATAGTTGTGTTGTTTGTTTTCCTAGTATTGTATACTTTTAAAATATGTTTTATTATGATCCAGTTTGCTTGTTTTTAATTTTTGTTGAATTTCTTAGACTTTTTATAAACAATATAAAAGTGTTCATATATTAAAAGATAATTTGTTAAATAAATAAAAATAAATAATATTAAATCATTTTTTAAATGTACCTAGTACCATTATTAATTGCAAGAGTTTGCTTTCAAGTATCTCACATGGTTTGAAGTAATCAGTTTGTTTACTCTCTTAACTTTCCTACCTATAAATTTAACAGCTTAGGTCATTTGTTACACTTGAACCGACATTTTACCTATAAACTAATCCAAAAAGATTAAAGGTGGGATTGTGGTTCTCAATCTACTTAATTGATTTTTAGTCAACAAAAAAAAAACAAAAAAAAACAACAACCCAGAAAGGTTTGAGAAAGGCTGTAATAATATGCAGCTAATATATTTGGTGTATATGGTGATGGAACTTTTAATAGTTTAACAAAATCTTTTATACCCTTGAACCCAACCATTTCCATACACATATTTACATTATTAAAAATATATTCATATAATTTAAATTTTATAGTCTTATTAGATATATTCTGAAAATTGTTAACATAACACTGTCTATATTGTGCATGTTTTTTACATGAACTTTTAGCTGTTGTGATATGGAAAGTAAAATATATTGCATGAAATTAACTCTAAATATTTTTCAACAATACAAAATAAAGAACTTTAGACTCCCACTTCGTTGTATTAGCCATTATCTTATGTTTGATTCAACTTGAACAGTTAATTATTTTTTATATTGATACACATGAATTATCTCTGTGTTAATTCAAATATAGATTAAAATGGTTGCTCTTGCTAAATCTTACAAGTTTAAATGTTTCCATTCTTGTTAGAAGTAGTTAATTTTTGTTTGATCTTTATTAAAGCATTTGTATCCTACTTAAGATTTTTAGTAATAAATTTGGCATTAAAATTTTTAGTAAAACATCATACAGTTAAAAAAAATATAGCGAGCAATGCAATTGTGTTTTATTGAATAAGTACTTAACGTAATAGCTCCTAGAAAGATAAAAATCGGGGGTTTCTTTTGAAGCTGAAAAATCAATAACATTTGTGTCCAAAAATTCAGGTCAAGTTTTGTTTCATGCAATAACTTGCTTTCAATACAAAATATTGTTAGTCAATAACTTAAATCTCTTATAACATATGCCAGCTAGAGATAATAGTGGTTGAGAAAACAGTAATTTGAATTAGATTTGTTCATTTAGTTTGTGATACGTGTACTTTTTTATCTTGGTTATTTTAAAATTTACAGATTCCTTATCAGAATCTGAAGGCAACAGGAATGTGTATATAGTCATGCAGGTAAGTTATACTCGTCTTTTCGATGATTTTTTAACTGTGACCATGATGTGACACAACACTCTTAACCAATTTGGTCATTTAAGTTTGTGATAATTTCGCACTTCACTAAATTAAATTGGCTTAAATAAAATAACATTAAAATCTTATTATGTACATTTTAATTTAATTATTACACCAAAAATTTGATTTTATATTGAACAAGAAGCATAAAAGCTTGATATTTACACCAATACGGTTTTTATACACAAAATGAAGAATCAAAATTTCAAATAACTGAGAAATTATTTTTATATATGTCTCTACTCTGTGATGTAATTAGAGTTATTAAATAAAACCAAAAACCTGCAGTAAGGTTTAACCAAATTTGTTATCTCTGCTTACAACTTCAGTACCACAGACCAAAAAGAAGAATCAATATTTTAAAGTTCTTAAATAATTTGTATAGACCCTACATCTTAATTGTGTAATGTAGTAAGAGCAATAAAAAAAAGTACCAAAAACCTGTAACCTGTGGTGCTATAAGGGTTAACCAAACTTTTGATCCCTCCACACTACTACTAAACTCAAGTACCCCAGACCAAATAAAAGAAGAATCAATATTTTGAAGTTCTTAAATAATTTATATACATCTTTATTGTGTAATGTAATTAAAGCAATATAAAAAAGTACCAAAAACCTGCAACCTGTGGTGCTGTAAGGGTTAACCAAACTTTTGATCCCTCCCCACAGCAACTGAACTCCAGTAACCCCAACACAGTGTCCAGCCATGTCATGACATTTAGCAGTGGGGACTCTGTGGCCGGCTCCACCACATTGATGCCACCACCAGCCACACCAGACAGGAAGCATTCGCATGAAGATGTCAGTCTAGATTCAGATAGGTCAGTCTAGATTCAGATAGGTCAGTCTAGATTCAGATAGGTCAGTCTAGATTCAGATAGGTCAGTCTAGATTCAGATAGGTCAGTCTAGATTCAGATAGGTCAGTCTAGATTCATAGGTCAGTCTAGATTCAGATAGGTCAGTCTAGATTCAGATAGGTCAGTCTAGATTCAGATAGGTCAGTCTAGATTCAGATAGGTCAGTCTAGATTCAGATAGGTCAGTCTAGATTCAGATAGGTCAGTCTAGATTCAGATAGGTCAGTCTAGATTCAAATATGTCAGTCTAGATTCAGATAGGTCAGTCTAGATTCAGATAGGTCAGTCTAGATTCAGATCGGTCAGTCTAGATTCAGATCGGTCAGTCTAGATTCAGATAGGTCAGTCTAGGTTCAGATAGAGGTCAGTCTAGGTTCAGATCGGTCAGTCTAGATTCAGATAGGTCAGTCTAGATTCAGATAGGTCAGTCTAGATTCAGATAGGTCAGTCTAGATTCAGATAGGTCAGTCTAGATTCAGATAGGTCAGTCTAGATTCAGGTAGGTCAGTCTAGATTCAGGTAGGTCAGTCTAGATTCAGATAGGTCAGTCTAAATTCAGATAGGTCAGTCTAAATTCAGATAGGTCAGTCTAAATTCAGATAGGTCAGTCTAAATTCAGATAGGTCAGTCTAAATTCAGATAGGTCAGTCTAAATTATTCAGGTAGGTCAGTCCAAATTCAGGTAGGTCAGTCTAGATTCAGTTAGGTCAGTCTAGATTCAGATCGGTCAGTCTAGATTCAGAGAGGTCAGTCTAGATTCAGATAGGTCAGTCTAGATTCAGATAGGTCAGTCTAGATTCAGACAGGTCAGTCTAGATTCAGACAGGTCAGTCTAGATTCAGATAGGTCAGTCTAGATTCAGATAGGTCAGTCTAGATTCAGATAGGTCATTCTAGATTCAGATAGGTCAGTCTAGATTCAGATAGGTCATTCTAGATTCAGATAGGTCAGTTGTTTGTGTGGTCAGTCGTTGCCTATGTGGTCAAATATTGATTGTGTACTCTATTATTGTTTTTATGGTCAGTTTTTGTTTGTGTGGATAGTGGTTATTTGTATAGTCAGTTGCTGTTAGTTACTTGTGTTACGGGTCAGTTGTAGACTAGATAGAAATAGGCTAGAATAGTCCAGAACTTAGGGGAGTGCTTGTGTGAGTTGAGTTTACCCTAGTGTGTAGTTAACCCCGGTGTGTTTATGTATTGTTATCTTAAGGTCGAATGGGGGTATAAAAGCTGGAGTTAATGAATGTAAGGGGGTTAGCTGGTAGCGGCTAGGCACGAGGTCATGTTGTATAAAGATAATTTGGGTCCATCGAAATAAAGATTGCCTACAAACGTGTTTGTTGTTTGATTGTAACAGCTTGTGTAGCTCATTGTTTGTTACTTCAGTTGCAGTTTTTGTGGTCAGTTTGTGTTATTAGTCATTGTTTGTGTAGTCAGTGGTTTGTTTGGTCAGTTTTTGCTCATGCGGTTAGTTTTTGTTTGTGTGGTCAGTTGCTTAATCATCATCATTCGTGTTGTCATTCATTAAGTATGTGCAATAGTTTTATGATTGTGACTTGTTTGTTGCTTAAGAATCTAATAAATTTACATTTTAATTTCTAAACTGTTTTTATTATTGGTTATATTTAATTATAATACATGGCTCAAAAGTAAACCTAGTTTATTTTATACATCTTTTTCTCAATTTTTTTAAACTGTCTTATTTATTGCTATATTTATTTGTTCTATATTTACTCCAGTCTCTAGGTAAAACAGTATTGTTATATGTGCAACCTTACAATCCTCAGTGAGAACAGTCTCTAGTTAAAACATTCTTGTTATATGTCAGATCTTACAATCCTCAGTGAGAACAGTCTCTAGATAACACAGTATTGTTATATTTGCAACCTTACAATCCTCAGTGAAAACAGTCTCTAGATAAAACAGTATTATCCAATTTTACCATCCTCAGTGAGAACAGTATTAATGCCTGTCTAATCTGCGGAGACCGGGCCTCAGGGTACCACTACTCTGTCTACTCATGTGAAGGCTGCAAGGGATTCTTCAAGCGCTCAGTACAGAAGAACCTGCAGTATGTCTGCAAGGACCAAGGGATGTGCTTCATCAACAAGTTCTCCCGCAACTCATGCCAGTTTTGCCGCTTTCAGAAATGCCTTAATATGGGAATGAGACGAGATGGTACTCTTATATATTTTTTTTATTAGTATCTATGTTAAATAATTTTTAACTTAAATTTGTAGTTGTTCAGTAAGTTTTATTAATTAATTTTTTTAAATTATATTTTTTTAAAATGTGTTTATTAGTGGGTTTAATTAATTTTTAAAAAGTGCTTTGATTTGATTTTCAGCCAGTTTTATTTATTTATTTTTGTATTATAATTGTTTTTTTGGAAAATCAATTTACCTATTGAATTTATAAACTAATTGTTATTAATATACTTTTTTTTTTAATTTTCCAATTTGTTCTTTATTTATTTATTTTTTTTATTGTTTTTTTTTTTTTTAAATTAATTTACCTATTTCCTTGTGCAAAATGTCATTTAAATTTGATCAATTAAAATGAGTATTTGTCTCACTAAAAAATTGTGCTTGTATTGTTGACAGCTGTTAGAGAAGACAGGTCTCCGGGGGGCAAACACAGGCACAAACGCCCCAGGATAGAGGACGGGCACCATCTTGTGGTGGCGCCGGCCACAACCACTACCATGCTGCCTGGTGACGTTGTACATTCACACAGTGTCAAATCCTCCGCGGAGAAAACACCTGTCGTTGATGATCCGCTGCGGGACAGTTTGTTAGCAGCTAAGCCTCACCTATACCCTAAGGCTGAAAGTAAGTGGGGCTTGTCTGGACAATTTGTAAGATTTAGCTGCATTGCTTCTGCACTGGCTCAAAACCTGTTCTGTTTTTTGTAAAAATGTGGTGTTTGTTGTTTCTTGTTTTTTGGTTATTAATCGAGTTCAACATTTATATAATTCTGTTCTGGTGACTCAAATGAAATATGGCAAAATAAAAATACAAAATGTTTTTCATCAAATGGAACAAAAATTATTTCTCATGGTCGAGTCGGTAAAGCTCATGGTTGCTAAACCGAAAAGTCTAGAATTCGAACCCTCAGGCAGATGAGGCTCGTTAGCTGGGGACAGCCACTCTTCTAGGAGAGACAACTCCAAAATCAAACATCTGCTGCCTTGTAGTTTGTTCTTGGTGGAAGCAAATCCAAAAAGAAAAGCAGGCTGAAATCGTCGTCAATGGCGCATAAGCAGTTGACACATATCCTTAATTGTGATGGAGGCATGGTCGAGTTGGCAAAACCTCATGGTTGATAAACTCGAAAAAGTCTCGAGTTCAAACCCTCAGGCAGATAATTATTAAGAACCAAGAAGAAATAGAAGATTTCTATATGTATATTAGAAAGAATTATCTGATATCTAGAATGGATAAACATTAAATTATAGTTTATTTAAACTATTAATGTTTAAAATAACATTTTGTTAATAGCTATTCTTAAAATTTAGCTACCTCATTTGAGATTAGATAAACCTTTCTATCAAGGTAATAGCTTTAATAAATTACTTAAGTGTCATACATTTTTTGCTTTTGTAGTTTTGTAATTATTTGTAATTTTTTTTTATAGATAATGCTGAGCGCTCAGAAAATATTAGTGTTAGTGAACTGATGCATTATGGGTATCTGGAACTGCGTTACATCATTGAATGGGCCAAGAAAGTACCAGGTTTGTTTATTTATTGAATGATTGTATATGGACTTATTTGGCTGATTTTATTGAATATTGAAGCTATAGTACACTAATACAGCATTGCAGTAAATCTTGCACAATAGTCAAGGCGAGTGGTTGCCACTTGGATGGTAGGCTCATATCCTGTAAAAGATCTAATTCTCTGCCTTCTATCAAATTTTTTATAATTTCTGTTGACCGTAAGTAGTAATTTTCGTTATTTCCGATTTCTCGAAAAGCGCATGTGAATTTATAAAGTACTAATAATATTCCGCATTATAATGCACATTTTATTAGGCGTTGACTTGGTGTGCAATTCTTTTTTCTACGAGATGTTATTCTATTTTAAAGTTTAAGTATTTAAAATGGATTAAAAATCATGTCTATATCCAGAGTTGCCATCCCCTGTTGTTTCATCTATACTAATAGTTTCGCTGTCTGTGTATGTATCTGACAAGAACGCTATAGAGAAAACACAAGCAAATTAAAAACATGCATAGTTAAACGAAAACGAAATATGACGTCACATTTAGCATATAGTAGAAAATAGTATCAAGCCGGAGAGTGCACACAGTAATATGACGTCATTGATTCTCAAGTAAACATTGAATAAAAAGGCAATTTTGTCTAATCTAAGTGGTTTGCGTGAAGAGTTTCCTTCATAAAATTCTTCGGGATGGAGCGAAGCCCCATTCCTGCCCCCCTCCCCCTAACTCAAAAGAAATGACGTCATCGATACTTTATAATAAAAAGACTCACATTATGGCATATTTATTGTATCTAATCTTATAAGCGTTTTGCGTGTAGAATTTCTTTCATGCGATTATTCGGGTAGTGGCTAAGCGCGACATCAGTGTTTCTTTCAGACTTTTTCCTCCCTGGAGGGGGGAACTTTTTCTAATCTAAAAAGTGTTTTGCGTGCACAGTTTCTTTCATGTATCTCTTCCGGTAGGGGCGCCCCTCCCATGTTCTTCCTTTAGTTTGTATGATCCACAAATGCGACCAGTGTTTCTTTCATACTTTTTCCTCCCCAGAAAGGGGTGGGGGTACTTGAAATTTTTGGGGTCGGGGGTAGAATTTTGTGGGAGGGGGCGGACACTGGAAAAAAAGCATATAATTATATTTTGTTGACGGTAGATGTGCTTTGAGGTGTGTGTGGGGGAGGGGGGGGGGGGCAAGTAGAGTCGCCTAAAAGAGACTCTAAATGCGACTTTTCTCATGATTGAGATTAGTTGGGGTATTTTTTAAAAATGTATTTACTTATTTATTCAATAACGGTAACATTAGTATCAATGTGCAGTAACTAAGTGGAGATCAAGAATAAATCCGATTAAAGTACAGATTCTGGATAAAAATCTGTGTTTTCAATGTCATTTTTCGTTTCCGGTTAAATTGAATTAAGATGGTGATTTTGGTTTTGGTTTTAGTTTAGAGAAAATAGACAGCACTATCAACCTAGCGCCCGTTGTATCCTTCCTCAACAGGCCATTTTTCTCGTATAAGAATATTCGAGAAAGTTTTGGGGAGATCACTCTTGGTTTATTTTTTACAAGTTTATAACATTTTTGTGACTTTTTGTTATGTTAAAATTGATTAGCTTTGATGCTTAAGACAAACAAAACAATAAAATAACTACTCATTGCTAAGAAACAAAACAAATTTAAATAAATGGGAAATACTGTTTTCAATTACCTTGCATTTTTCATCCGCAAAAGTAAATTAATGCTACAGATTATACACACAAAAGTAGTCAGGTTTCTTCTTAACAATTTGTAATATTTTAGGTTAAAACATGATATATTAATATCATAATTAATCAGATAGATATGATTAAAATGGATAACTGTTGTGCTGTATAAAAGAAAATGATATTGCTGCACTTTAATATTATTTAATTACAATATTTTCATTTTTACCTCTTGTAAATGTTTCATTCAAAATGTAAAATATAAAATTGACGTAAAAGTGGTTATTAATTATAACATTATTTTTTTTAAGGCTTTGCCGACCTGGACTTCTCTGACCAGATGGCTTTATTAAAGTCCTCCTTCATGGAGCTGAATGTCCTGCGACTGTCCTACAGGTAAATACAGGACCCTAATTGATAAACCTGTGGGCTCATTTTGTTAGATTACAGTTCTTATTTAATCTTAAGTTTTTAAGACAGCCTATCAGTTTCCTACATCTACATTCCAGTGCCCTACATCTAGAATCCTGGGGGACACTCACATGCTTAGAATTGTTCAATACATCAACAAGACAGAGACTATCAAAACCTTTGTCTCCCTTTCTGCTACACTAAACAACGCTGTTAGTCACTATTTATTTCCCTTCACAAAATCCCTTCATAACTCAATACTTTCCAAACCACATACATAGTACAACACTCACTTCAAAACAATGTCTTCCTGATGATTTATCTTTAAATTAAAATGTGTTCTTTACTTTTGTTCTATAAAGATCCATGGAGTTTGACAACAAGATCAAGTTCTGCGAGGACATAATCCTACCTCTGGAATACTGCGAGACCATGGGCTGGGGCAGAGAATTGGTGGATGGTACCCTGGATTTTGCTCAAAGACTGAAAGAAATCAACTTGGATTTGACTGAGTTTTGTATCCTCAATGGCATTGTCCTGATGTACCCAGGTAAAATACTTAGCTTATTTCTCGTTAAAATATTTGTATCTTCTTCTTTGTTCTTAATTTTAGTGTTGGAGAAATACAATTAAGTGTACGTGTCAACTGGTTATTAGGCCATTGACCCCGATTTCAGCCTGCTTTTCTTTTTGGATTTTGCTTCCATAGCCTTTGTCCAACCAAGAACAAACAACAAGGCAGCAGTTGTTTGATTTTTGAGTTGTCTCTCCTAGAAGAGTGGCTGTCCCCAGCTAACGAGCCTCATCTGCCTGAGGGTTCGAACTCGAGACTTTTCGGTTTAGCAACCATGAGCTTTACCGACTCGACCACGCCGACCCCGAAGCTTTACCAAATCATCCATGCCAACCCCTAATATTTGTATAAAAACCCTTGGACTATGGGAGTGATTGGTGAATTTCTACTTTTATAAAAATAGCTGTCCAATCAGGATAGCCTAAACTTAAAATTGACATTTATAAGTCTTTTATTTACTAGGTAAAGTCAGCATCTTCCCATCTTTCCATGTGCCTAGGACACATAGGGCTGTCACACAAAGTTCTTTCCACTTCTGCTACCTTTCTACTACTTTGTAGTTCCCCAGGACAATCTGATATAAAAAATAACCTTAGTCCCACATATGCACATGTTAGTTTCTCACTATGGAAATGGTTCTGGTTTTTTTTTAATGAAAATGTGTCTAACCTAAACTTAAATCTGACTGGTAGAAACTATTTAGTTGTTTATAAAAAAATATCTTTAGTCCCCCATTACTTGTGTTAGCCTCTCATCCCTGTGATTTGACTGTGGGGATAGTTGGTGTAATTTTTCTTTTAAAAAACATGCCTAATCAAAATAATACCAAAATATAAATAGAGAAGTGTACCGATTCGTGAGTTTTAACTTTTTATAAGAAAGATATTACATATAAAATAGAAGGCTCAAATGTTTTTAACCACCTTATGAATGAAAATTTGCCTTAGAAGTCATATACTAGCTAGGGGAAGCTACAGCATATTTCAGTTCTACTCCAATGTAATTATTTTTGAGTTCCCTCCCCTTCTAACTTATTGATTCTTTTTTTATTATGGTAAGGTTGGTATTAAATCAGTTTGGCTGTGGTCAAAATGAATATCATTACTAGTGATTGTTGTTTCATATCCACTCTTAGGTCTTCAGTTTTACCTATGTAGTATGGCTTAATTGAATTAGAGCTGTAAACTCGTTGAGGAGCTTAGGACCTCAACTATTTTTTTTTCTAGTTGCAAGTTGCAACCCCAATAAGCAACAGTTGTTTAGATTTCTTTGTTTGCAGCCTCCGTCATTGCGGCTTTGTTTGTTCCTGTGGAATGATTATGGCAATTGTGTAGTTGAGGGGGGTGCGTTACGTTTATAGAAATTCTATGGTACATAGTTTGTTATTAGGTGAAATTTGGTTTGCAGTAGGGGGGGGGGGGGGATTTAGTGTGTGTTTTTTCATCATCTCCCAGGACATCCCTGATGTCTTTCATATCTTTGTAGTGTAAATGTAATTTTATGTGTTTAAATGTTAGTGCTTTTCATGTTTCATCCACAAACTTTATCAATTTAAATTATGTAAAAAACTGGACAATATTTTTGTAGATGTGGCAGATGTTTGTTTAATTAATATTAAGAATTCAAATGTTTATTCAATTTATATTTGTTTCATTAATTTTTATGAATTAAAATTTTTGTATTCAACACTAGATGCTCACGGAATTGAGGACAAAATCAGAATAGCAGAGCTGCAGTCAAAAATACTTGACTGCTTGAGACGCCACATAGTCCGTCAGTACCCCAGCGACCCAAAGCGTTTTGGAAAGATATTACTGAGGCTGCCTGCATTGAGGGTCGTCAGTGCCAAGGCGGCAGAGAGGTTCCTGTCACTGACATTTGACGGGTCCATACAGCTGAACGAGCTGGTCCTGGAGATGATGAACTGACCATTCCAACCACCTGACTCATCCATCCTAGCCAACCAGAGTTCAAATCAACTGTGTTAGTTCGATTTCCAACAAGGAGTATTTTGCCCGAAACTGCGCTGGTTATTCAGCAAGAATAGTATTTAAGGTTGTTGTGGTGTCAAGACACAAGTCCTAACAGGAGAAACGCTAAGAACTGGGATGTGCTGAATCATGCCACTTTGCCATTGATAACCATATCTGGCTAATGTAAATCCTAGGTCCCTCGATGTCCATGTACTGTTGTACTACAGATACATGCATGGGTCTGTCCAGACTGTTGCCTAGGATTGTGTTGTCCCCTCAACGGCTATTATCTCCAAATATTTCTTTGTTGTGTTTTCAAGGAAAGATAATTTTAAGCCTTTTGAACTTGAATATTTAACCGTTTACTGAAGGGCCAACAACTTTATGTGCTGCTGTATTGAGTTTGGTATGTAAATCTGATGTTTTAAAATTTGATTACCACACATAGACAAACATCTTTTTTCAGGTGGGACAATTATTTTAAAAAATGTTAAAAATGTTGATTTTAAAGCCGTAGGCATGTTGAAAACAACTATTTGTGAATGATTTGGTTTCAATATAGCAATTAGTGATGTTTTTTGTTTTAAATTGTTAAATTTTGTACAGTTTAGTTCATTCAAAACGTGTGTTTGTTTTATCTATATACTTTGACCTTCAATTGCCAAAAAATTTAATTTTGTAATTAACTTTTTTTTAAAATTATAAACCTGGCATAATCTTTTTAGTAAATTTTGAAATGTCTTGAATTGTATAAAAACAAAACAAAAAAAAACATGCTCTTTACTACATTTTGACACAGGTGAAAGGGAAAGTAGTACCCTGAAAATGCTAGTAGGCCAGTAATATGTTGGTGCTTCTATTATAGATGTGGTATATATAATAACAAAACCATAGCTTTGCTATAACCTGCGTTTTTTTTTGTTTTTTTTTCATATATTGTGTACAGGAAGTAAAAAAAAATAGAGAAATTTTAATTACCAGGTAATGAACTGAACATTTTTATTTGTAAAAAGATTTTTTTTTTTTTAAATTACTTTTTTAACCTGTCGAGTACGTTAATTTTTTCTTGACAATCTCTGGCTACATCAAAAAGTACTTCTGCTGGAATTTAATTTCCTATGTTTGTTATTTCACTTCCTGTCTGTCTGCAAGGTAGCTAAAAAAAATAACCTTCCATATTTGTTTTTTCAATTTGAAGAGTGCAGTTTATTAACTTTTATTATATTTACTTAAACTTTTTGGGTAGATATTCATAGTATTTAAATAGTCACATTTAATTATGAGAGTAGTAAATTGTATAAAATGTTTAATAGACAACCTGTAGGGGGCATAAACTATTTGAAGCTAAATCTTATAAAAACCAGTTGAGTTAATCATCAGCAGTAACATGTTTGTTGGTGCATTACCTTTTCCTGAAATTTTCGAAAAGTATCCAAATGTATGTTTGCTACTTATATTGTATTTTTGTCACTTGACTTTTTTTTCAAAATTGTGTGTGTTATTTAAAACAACATAAATTTAACAGATGCCTAAAAACTTGGCATTTCAAGCCTTACTCTGACTCATCATAATATATAATGGCATTTCATTATTTTTCTAAGAGTTAAGAAGTGATTCATCCATTTTATGTCAACTTTCTTGGAAGCACTTGTGTGGGAATAGGTATTCTTTATTTTGGTCTTAATAGTCAGATTTTTTTCTATGTAATATTTTAAGTGGTTACATTGTTTATAAATTTTTTTAAATCAACCAACCTAACTAAATAGTTTGTTACATTAATAATATAATGCTTAGAATTTAAAAAAAACAACAGCTACCCACCTCTGCTTATTATATATTGTATTATTTAAATCAGTTTGATTAGTTTTTAAGATTGAAAAAAAGTTTTATTAAAAAATAACACTCGGTGTATTTTACCAGTAGAACATTTTAATTGTTGGCATTGAGAATGGGATGAGTCTTTTAAAACAAAGACATGTTGGCTCGGACTTGGATTAGAATACATCTAATCCCTGGTGGATTTGGCTTATTTCATACACAGTCTGGAAAATCTGAAAGCGTTATGGTGTTAGCAACTGCTAGCTTGCCATAGATAAGTTTGAAATTCACATGGATTGTGGATACTGGTCATATGACACAATATTAGATCAGAGGTAAACATGGCTCTGTGCTAGCAGAGCTTTTCATAGAAAATCAAGGGACCCTACTCAGCCTGTTTACTGTTATGTTTTGTAGGAGCTACTTCCCTTTGTTTTTAATATGATAAAGTGGCTAAAATTACTGTGTAAATGTATACTTTTAACCCAACCAAGCAAAATGTTTTAGTATATACTTTAATATGATACTTTATAACTAAAGTTTTTGTTTTAATTTAATTATAATTACTTTAGCAACCTGGTGGCTTGAGTTTTGTTATTTTTAGCATAATGTGATGTAATAACTTACAGTCTACTCTGTCCGTTCTCTTCAACTAAAATATGTTTTGATTAGCTGATGTAGGAATTTCAGAATTTGTGTTTGTCACTAATGTGTTCATATTTTGTCGGTAGTTTTCTTTTAATCTTTTAATTATAATCTATTTAATTGTATTTCAAAGTTCGTTTATTAAAAAAATTGTTCAGCTTTTTTTAGCACAACTTTTCTTTAGAACTTTTCATATTGTATATAATTTTACAACTTTTTGAGCAGAAATATCTTTTCATTTGTTGATTCTATTGTCATAGACTTTTCTTAAAGTAGGTATTTTAAATTTATGTCATTACCAAAGAAGAATAAGTTACGGAATAATTAGAACCACAATTATAATTATCAAGATTCATGTCAGTCATGAACTACAGAAGTCTTAAATTATTCAAGTTATTTATATATATATATATATATATATATTGAGAAATGAAATACTTTTTTAATATTTGTAAATGCTTTTTCCAACTTGAATTATTTATGGTATGAAATATATAAGGGGGTGAATTTTATGATTAGAAAATTGTTCCAGTAGTTTGACTTAAAGAAAATGCATGGCAAAATTCTAAAAAAAAAAAAGATCTTTAGTACTTTCCCTTAATTTTATTTGTAGTAATACAATACAGTTTTTTTTAAAGGAGGTTAAAAGCACACATTTTTACCTACAAATTGTAATGGTGTAATAAGTGGGGCCTCTATCTGGTTTGACCAAGAAAAGTTCATCCGTTTTCATAAATGCACTTTTTTAAAAACTAAAAAGTAGATTTCATTCTTCCGAGTGAGTTGACATTCTGCATCATTTTATGGCAAGTTTCTGACTTGAAAGAAATTGTTTCTTGGTCAGGCTTACTGTGTTCATTGCCTACAATTCCCTCCTGTTACAGTTCTCTCCCATCTCATGTCTCAAATAAGGCAAGGGCAGCTAAAAAGATCACTATCTGTCATGTATAGGTTGTTTTCACAAGGTGGACATTTTGTCCTTACAATTTCTTTTTGTTAAAATAAAAAAGAAATGTGGGGATTACTATGTATTATCTATAAGTTCTGATAGCTTTGATCTTTTTAAGCAGTGGTACTATCCTTGCTGGGTAAGCTAATGTAGAGAAACTGTAATGCAATAACCATAGCTGTTTAAGAGAGAATAAATGTTTTTAAACTAACAGTCCATACAAGTAGGTGAAGTAGAGTTTAGTTGTATCTATGGCCAGGGTATAGAAGAAAAATGTAATTACTGCCCCCCCCCCCCCCCCCCCCTTTCTCCAAATCCTATTGGACTTACCAACTAAAACAATTCCTGCCTCCCACACCCCACCCAAACTGACTTAGCAACTAGTTGCCGCCTCACTTTCCCCCTCCCCCGCAAGCACACACCCTATCTAACTTTGCAACTGATTGCCGCCAACCGCCCACCCCCTTTCCCCTTTTTAGCCACTCCCTGGTTTTCTTAATACTCTAATCTTTTCTCCACTACTCATATCCTGTGGTGAAGTACACCTAGGATTTGATAGATTGAATAACCTTAGTGCTGTGTTGATTTGTGATACTGTAGTGAAATTTAATGCCATTTTCATCAAGAGTCATTGCCTCTGTTAAAACCACTTATAACTGTTTGTGTTAAATGTTGATAACGTAACTACTTGCTGTCCTACACCATAAACTGGCCATTTTAAGAGCCAAACAGTATATATTTGAACGGGTGATATATATTAAATTCTAGGTATTTTTAATAATTTTTCAAGTAAGGACACATTTAAGTAGAAGTAAAGATTCCTCTTTAGACTAAAATTTCCATTGGGCTAAATTGAGTTCATATAAGAATTCTTTTAAAGTTGTTTTTATTGTTGTTTGTTTTGTTATGTTTTTTTTGGGGGTTTTTTTTGTAAATTATTAGTAGTTACTTTAAGAGATAACACCCGTTTTATTTTTTTTATTAAAATGTTTAGAAAAGATTGCCTTTATTGTCATTAAGATGTTCAAAGTCTATAGAAAAACAAATATTTCATTGACTTTGAGAGTTACCCCCCTTGATTTTTACATCAATAAATATTTCAGTGTTTTAAAAAAAGCCAAATAACACAGAGCAGAACTGAAAAAAATGTCGGTTCCCCAGGGGGTGGATTGCTTTCCTCCAACACCAATAAGATGTGTATTACATTTAATGGCATTATTTCACAAGACAACTATTCCTTTAATTTGTTTTAATTATAATGTTTTGTAATATAATGTTATTTTATTCTATATCAGAACATGAAAAATGTGTAAGAAATTTTTTTTAAAAAATGTTTCAATTTGTTTTCCCCATCTTGAGTTTCTGTTGTCACTCATTGAACAGAAATTGTTACATAGTCACATACATTTCACCATCGGCTTAATTGGGTTTTTCAAACTGTGAATATCTAGATAAAAAAAATCATTTTTTTTTTTTTAATTTCTGTTATGTCAGAAGTAAAACTTAATATTTTTTAAAAATGTTTTAAAATTATTAATTTGATTAAAATTTGATTATGATTGAATTGATTATGATTGAATTGATTGTGCCATATCACAGAAGATTGTGTGGCTTATGCACGTCAAATGATAACTGAAAATCCAAGTGTGAAAGAAGAATTATGAGACGTCTTTTTCTATTGTGGTGTATTCCATTACAAAGTGCGTTATACTATTTCAACAACTGTATCATTTTCTTTTCATACATTTGTATGCTGTGTTCAAAGCATGTATGTTAAGTATGCATTTAACCACAAAATTTATATTCCATACAAGCAATACGGATTTTACCTTCTCTTGTCTGTAGCTATTTGTACAGTTATTCTGAAAATAATTACTGTTTTAATTTCTTTGCATAAGTTTATTTTTAAAACAAAAAAAAATAGTGCAAATAGCAGATTTTACCTTCTCTTCTCTGTAGCTATTTGTACAGTTACTCTGAAAATAATTACTGTTTTAATTTCTTTGCATAAGTTTATTT